AACCCCAAACCCAAACCCAAACCCAAACCTAGAAATTCTGGAAAATCTAGAGAGAAAAATGATGTTATATAATCTTGGCCTCATAATTATAGATTTAAAAAGATATGTTGGAATAAAAAGCACTCATTATAATGTAAAATAAGATCAACTTTAAAGGTTACCTATTAATAATCTGACAGAAAATCCATGAAATTATTCTTTATATATATATTATGTATTTAAATTATTAATTAAAACTATATGTTCAATGCAAATTGTTTGCATATAATACATCCCTATTTAAGATTTAGGTATTTCTTTAATTAAATAATCATCTTTAATAAATTCCAAATTGTCCTTCCAAAATTAAACCATTCATTTAATTTATAAGATGTAACAAAATATTAATGAGGTTAGAATTACTCTTTTTTATTAATTCTTACTTTGAAATAATATACTAATTACTTAGTATTATCATTTATCAAAAATTTGTAAATAAATCACAGATGATCTCATTTATTTTGATTCAAATAAAAGATGAGATTCAAATAAAAGATGAGATTCAAATTAGTTAACAAATCCAAAATCAATTAGTTTATAAAAAAAATTGTGTAAATTAATAAACTTCTTTGTAAGTCTTTCAAATAATTTCACCCTTTGAAGAGTTCAATTTGTTGAAATCTCGAACTCCAATATCAAATGTTTTGATATTTCAATTGATTGCTTGACTACATGAATATTACTTATTATTATTAAATTAAATATATAATATTTCTGCGTTTCCTTGGAATCTTTGGTTTAGCCTCAGGAATACAGTTATCTCAGGATTAAATCAAAGAACGTATTTGCAATTAATCCAATCAAATGCATAGTTTAATAAAGGTGGTTTTTGCATTGAGATCTAATAATTAATATTTTTCAAATTAGGATTCCCCATTTAGATATTGCAAGGAAGGCAAAGTATTAAATCAAAAGAAAAATGCATGTAATAATAAAGGTACACTATTTTGGTAGGTTAAATTTGAACTGAACATTATAGGCAAAACAAATCAAGATTAAGTTATGGTGTTAAAAATTTTAGCTATCTCATAATTAAGTTTTGTATCCAAAACTAATTATGATAAGTTGAAAGCAAGTATCTGCTTTATTAGGAATTTCAAGATAACTAAAATATTAACAACAATTACTTGATATTTGAAGACTATATTTCTATATTTCGTTTTAATTCGATAATTTATGAATTTTGAATGACTTCTTAACTTTATCTTTAGCTAATTCATTTTTAGTTAACAAAAATTTAATTGAAAGAAATCAATTAGAGAAACTAAATAAGTCATAATTGTAATTTTCAATTGATACTTAGCTTAATCAAAATAAATTGTGATTAATATAATATTAATAAAATAAACAAATTTATAAATTAATTATTGATAATCAAAAAGCCTAAAAAATTAATTGTTTTTAATTTATGATTTACTTCGAATTGATTCTAAACCTCTTTCTAACCGCTCTTATATACTTTGTTAATTGTTGATAGACATCAATAGCTAAAGTGAAAAAAAGTATTAACGTGAAACCACCTACATTAATCCAACCTAAAAGTTCAGCTGAGTTCTTGTTTTAATTAAATTTAATAATATCATAAACAGAAAAGAGTATTACATTAACCAAAACCAGAATTTCTGTGATGAATATTTTAATATTTTCAAAATTGTTCTCAAAAGGCTTATAAATATAAATATAACAAGAAAATGCTCCTGATATACAAGCTGTAATTAAACTCTAAGCAGCCAGAAGTTCTTAAAATACAACTAAATTAATAATGAATAAAGTTTTTTTAATGAGCAATAGAGTAAAATATTATTTAGTTCCTTATTTACAATTATTATTAATTCCTTCCACTAAAACTGATAATTTCTTCGGGACTGTTCCTCTTTTTGCTAAATAAGAAAAAAAAACTGCTATCAAGAATAGATTCCCTTATAGTGTAATTAATGCTATTAAAGAGATGGTTCTATTTAAAGTAGTATCAGTATTGTAATTGGCAATTTATAATATCGATGCAAAGGTTATATCATAAAAATTAGAAGTAAAAATTCTGATTAATCCAGAATAAATAAAATACTGATATTATTTTCTGGCCAACCTTTAGAAGGAAAATATAAATCTGACAAGTTTAAAGAGACCTTATGATTACCTCTTATAAAAAATAGCTGGCCAATTTTAGTACCTAATAAGTACAAGGAATTTATAGAAGAAATATGAGACAAAAAAATAAACAAATCCAATTATAATTACAGCGACGAGAGTTTACAGGTTGTACAAAAAATAACAATTGATTTAATAGTATTCAAATTTCCATTTAGCCGGTATGATTGGAATTTCGAAATCAAATAATTCCTGTAAATAAACATCTGTTTATAAAGTGTTAATTATTGGAGCAAAAGAACTAATAGTAAAAATTTCAAAATAGACTTACAAATTTTCTGGGAATTGTAGATTGTGGAATTTCAAATATGATAATTATTAAAGCATATCAAGTAAATTCCATAAAATTTCTAAATTGCCAGCCAAAAAAGCTATACCATTTACAATCAAGATGATATACATAACAATTCGACTGAGAAGAGCTGTTTTAAAAATAAGGGATTGATGCTCATTTGACATTTTGTTTGGAGATGACAAAACTAACTTTGCTTCTTTTGAGAATAAAGAATTGTCTTAAGCATTTACAATATTCTCACATCTTAGGGTTACTATTAGCACAGGATTTGAAATTCTACTTTTAAAATAGACGAATATCTTATAAGATACATCGGTCAATATAGAGGTAATTGATATCTTGGGTTTGATTTCAATATCATATTCATTATCTTTAGCATTTTCGATTACAATAACAATCATCTAAAGAAATTGTTCATCGCTAATGTTATAAATGTTCAAACGAACTTGCTCACTAAATGATAATTCAAATTCTTGAATATCTTAGTTTGTTTTTGTGAGCCTAGTAAGTATAATTTTAGGTCTAATACTATAGTTANTATACTTTGTTAATTGTTGATAGACATCAATAGCTAAAGTGAAAAAAAGTATTAACGTGAAACCACCTACATTAATCCAACCTAAAAGTTCAGCTGAGTTCTTGTTTTAATTAAATTTAATAATATCATAAACAGAAAAGAGTATTACATTAACCAAAACCAGAATTTCTGTGATGAATATTTTAATATTTTCAAAATTGTTCTCAAAAGGCTTATAAATATAAATATAACAAGAAAATGCTCCTGATATACAAGCTGTAATTAAACTCTAAGCAGCCAGAAGTTCTTAAAATACAACTAAATTAATAATGAATAAAGTTTTTTTAATGAGCAATAGAGTAAAATATTATTTAGTTCCTTATTTACAATTATTATTAATTCCTTCCACTAAAACTGATAATTTCTTCGGGACTGTTCCTCTTTTTGCTAAATAAGAAAAAAAAACTGCTATCAAGAATAGATTCCCTTATAGTGTAATTAATGCTATTAAAGAGATGGTTCTATTTAAAGTAGTATCAGTATTGTAATTGGCAATTTATAATATCGATGCAAAGGTTATATCATAAAAATTAGAAGTAAAAATTCTGATTAATCCAGAATAAATAAAATACTGATATTATTTTCTGGCCAACCTTTAGAAGGAAAATATAAATCTGACAAGTTTAAAGAGACCTTATGATTACCTCTTATAAAAAATAGCTGGCCAATTTTAGTACCTAATAAGTACAAGGAATTTATAGAAGAAATATGAGACAAAAAAATAAACAAATCCAATTATAATTACAGCGACGAGAGTTTACAGGTTGTACAAAAAATAACAATTGATTTAATAGTATTCAAATTTCCATTTAGCCGGTATGATTGGAATTTCGAAATCAAATAATTCCTGTAAATAAACATCTGTTTATAAAGTGTTAATTATTGGAGCAAAAGAACTAATAGTAAAAATTTCAAAATAGACTTACAAATTTTCTGGGAATTGTAGATTGTGGAATTTCAAATATGATAATTATTAAAGCATATCAAGTAAATTCCATAAAATTTCTAAATTGCCAGCCAAAAAAGCTATACCATTTACAATCAAGATGATATACATAACAATTCGACTGAGAAGAGCTGTTTTAAAAATAAGGGATTGATGCTCATTTGACATTTTGTTTGGAGATGACAAAACTAACTTTGCTTCTTTTGAGAATAAAGAATTGTCTTAAGCATTTACAATATTCTCACATCTTAGGGTTACTATTAGCACAGGATTTGAAATTCTACTTTTAAAATAGACGAATATCTTATAAGATACATCGGTCAATATAGAGGTAATTGATATCTTGGGTTTGATTTCAATATCATATTCATTATCTTTAGCATTTTCGATTACAATAACAATCATCTAAAGAAATTGTTCATCGCTAATGTTATAAATGTTCAAACGAACTTGCTCACTAAATGATAATTCAAATTCTTGAATATCTTAGTTTGTTTTTGTGAGCCTAGTAAGTATAATTTTAGGTCTAATACTATAGTTACATACACTGATATTATTTTCCTATTAGCATTTCCAATCGCTCTCAACTTTACAAACGTCACTACATCCATCATTATTCTAATTATTTCCATCATCACATTATTCTATTTGTTGGACAAGAAAACCATCCCCGCAAACATTATGACATTATGATTAATCTTCTATGTATCCTTTCTCACAAAGTAAACATAATCCTTAGAAACAATTAAACATTTTTAGTGACAAGAATAGGAGCATTAATAACATCCATCATATTAAATCTAATTTCCATCATCACAGAATTCGTTTCCTACTATATAACCATCCCCACATATTGATTTACAAATCCCATTAATCAATACCCACCCCTTCATATGACAATCTTAGCATGTAGAACCATTACAAACATTACACCCTTATGGACATTACACTTGGCATTTATAACAACCATCGTAGGGCAAATAATTGCCATCGTCGCATTCTTCTTCTTTACTTGATACAATACCATCCCCACAAAAATCTATGCATTGATTGGAAAAACATTAATTTAGATTATCATCCCAAATGCATTCTATATTTTCACTATCAGTATAACAAGCTTCCCTTATTTAGTAATTCTGACAACTTTGTCTCTTAGTACATCCTCCTCCCTCTTTAGCTGTGCAAATTGGAAAATATGCATTGCACATCTGATGTGTTGTAAGAGAAGTAGAAGCAGTTTCACATGTTTTTGTAAAACATTTGTCATTAATCCAAACGCAAAGATTGAGATTGATATCAAAAGTACAACCATCTATGACATTAACATCTTCGCAAGCTTTTCGTAAAACACATTGATATCCATTGGTCGCACACCTCTTGCTTTCGAATATTGAAGCACAAGCTGAGTCTATAGCATAATTATAATCAAAGCACTCTTTTATACGACAACCACCTTTTTAACAAGAAGAGAGAAATCCTATACACTCTGAATGAGATTGGGCTAGTGGAGGGCCATTCTCGCAAATCTTCTCTTAACAAACACTCTTCTCTTCATTCCAGAAACAGTTTACTCCACTTAAATTCATTTGGTCTTCGCTTTTGCATTGATTATATGGATATTTCATGCACAAAGGTTGACCAATCTCACATCCATCCAAATTTTCATTTACAGTACACGAATTCCCAAAATACTAATGACAGCTATATGCTGAATATATGGGTAATTGTGCAGTTTAACAGTTTTTTATTGTACATATATTTTAACTAATTATCCATTAACATTCTACCTAATTTAAATCAATTTAGCATTATTCTTTGATTGAATAACCACTGCAAACATTTAATTATTGGCATCCATTCAGAGTTGAATTAACTGTACAGGATTTTAATCTTGAGTTACATTTATCATGTGTTATATATGTTGCTTACAAGTTTGAACATGTTAAATTTACACACTAATTTGATGAAACTTAAAAATAGCATTCGTTTCCAAATTGGTCTTTATAACATTAAGTTTTCTTTGCTAAAGAGCAAGAAAATGGGAGATCTACACATTGAAATTCATCTACTTTGACAGTGCAATTTTTATTTAATTAATAGGATTCACATAGCTGATGAGTTTTATTTGAAATATCTGCCTAAGTGCAATCTTCTACGCATTGATTATTATTGCTATTCCATTAACAGTTAATTAGCCAACTATTACATTCTGCTTGACTAATTGAAGGTGTTGGTTTATTTGAGCATGTTTTTTCCAAACATGTTGTACCATCCCAAAAGCAAGGGATGCCTTATGAATTGCTTGTACTTGTGCACAAGGGGTCATTAGAGTACTTGCTACAATCACCAATTCTTTAACAGGTCAAACTATCCCAAAAACATTATGTCGTAAAAATAGCACAGTCTCCAATTATCGTTAACTATGAGCAATCTAGACTTTAACATTCTAGGTTATTTAGTGACATACAAGAATCCTTCCAACCATGGCAAGACGAATGTGTCCAGTTCGATAGATAATGAACTGATGCTTAACAATAATTTGTACAAGCATTGGAATACCAAATACAATCTATGCCATCTATTGTACTTACACAAGCGTCTTAGTACAAATAATCTGAACATTATAATTATTTTATTCTGCATTTTTAGCTAAAAGTTAAATTGATTGTGTATTGGACAGAATAATCGTTGCAATCCTAATGTGATTTAGGTGAAGTCATGCTACTTGCACTGCAATATTTAGAATTAGAACATTTAGTACTTGAAAGTGAACACCAATAACACTTTGTCGCAACTGACCAAATATACCCATAACTGTTTTCACAATCAAATTAATTTGTAAACTCTTAACATAATTTGTTTGTGCATCTGTAGTCACCCCATCCTGTATAAACCCATTTACATTTTTCGCCATTTGCAATTTTTGCTGAATTACATATAGTAGGATTTCGAATTTAATCGCAAGAAATAAAAGCACATCCTTAACCTAGAGTATAATTTAATCTACAATATGTGCTATTATTTAATAAGCATTCTCGATTAGTAACTGCAGTTGTGTTAAGATCACAATTAACGTAATTTACGCATTTACCATCTTACCAATAGCATGAAAGAGAATTACATTATTAAATAATACTAACAGTTGTACAATCTCCTGCGAATGTCTTACAACCAGTAACATGATAAAAACAATTATATTTCCAATTAAAGCAAATTTCTTTTGAAATGGATTAATTTGAAGTCAGATGCTCGCATTATCTTACCTCGCAACTATTAGTATATGAATTATATCCACATAAAGATCCATTCTCAGTAATTGATAAATTACAAAGAGATTATCCACCTACCTACTAGCTGCATGAAGTCATAGATAAACAGCAATTGCATGTTGTATCATACATGTAAGATGATGAGTAATCCTAACATTATTTCCTTTTATCTGTCAGGGTCGCTGAAGAAGTGAAGATATAATCTTTTTTCTCTTTTTATACTAAGCATTATTTAGTGCAAGTAGAACATGAATAGTAATAGTAACATAATTATCCAAACTATGTTTTCTAACCATCACATGTACTATAGGAAAGATATTTATATGAACAGCTATGATCAAAACGACAAATGTCAGAAAATCTGCATTTATAATTTTCTCGAAAGATGACGTTGTTGCAAATCTAATTCGATAAATCATAACATGAATAAATAGAATAGCATCCTTATCCACTTTATTGAAGAACACAATAGTTATTATATAATTAACAAAGATCATTACTTTTACTATCTGTAATTACTTCACATTGTTTATTTCCTACTACTTAACATCTAGAATTATAAAAATAACATTTTTGATTCTAAGTTGTTAAAGTTAATTTACATATCACAGCATCTGTAACACTCTCACATTATGAGGGTCTATTTTCACAACCTGGCCCATAAGTTCCATTAGACTTAATTTTCAATTGACATTAGTTAAACCTCCTGAACATTAAACATTCAGCCTCAGTTTAAGCAGCAGTATTGTCAGCACAAACTCTATCCTTACATTTTTAATTCAAATCATCCCATTTGCAAGGTTAGTATTAACTAGTGATTTCGCATTATTGCTTATATTGATAATCACAATAGTATGAAAGATTTTAACAAGTTTTNCTACTTGTACTACAATATTTAGAATTAGAACATTTAGTACTGTAAAGTGAGCACCAATAGCATTTTGTGGCAACAGGCGAAATATAACCATAGCTGTTTTCACAATCAAATTAATTTGTAAACTCTGAACATTCTATGTTTGTGCAAATGTAAGACATTTTCCACAAACTAAAGGCCCATTTACATTTTTCGCCATTAGCAATCTTAGCTGAACTACAAATAGCGGAGTCATTAATTTAACTGCAATAACTAAAAGCACATCCTTAACCTGAAATATAATTTAATCTACAGAATGTGCTATTACTTAATAAGCATTCCCAATTTGTAACTGCAGTTGTGTTAATATCACAATTAACATGGTTTACGCATTTACCATCTTACCAATAGCATGAATGAGAATAACATTGTTAAATAATACTAATAGTTGTGCAATCTCCTGTGAATGTCTTACAACCAGTAACATTATAAACACAATCGTATTTCCAATTAAAGCAAATTTCTTATGAAATGGTTTAATTGGAAGTCAAATGCTCACATTTTCTTTCCTCGCAACTATAAGTCAATGAATTATATCCACATTAAACTCCATCCTTATTAGTTGATGAATTACAAAGAGATTATGAACCTACCTGCTAACTGCATGATGTCATTGATAAACAGCAATTACAAGTTGTATCATACTTGTATGATGATGAGTAGTCCTAACATTTTATCCTTTTGTCTGTGAGGGTTGCTGAATAAAGAAAAGTATAGCTTTTTTATGCTGTTTATGTTCGGCAATAATTATTGCAAGTTGAGCATGAATACTAGAAATAACATAATTGTCCAAACTATGTTTTCTAACCATCACAATTACTATAAGAAAGATATTTGTACTAGCAGCTATTGTCTTAATTACATTAATTTGAAAAACTGCATCTATAATTATTTTTAATGATTGCATTATTACAAGTCTTATTCGATTAATCTTAACATGAAGAAATAGAATAGCATCCCTATCCACTGGATTGAAGAACACAACTGGTATTATATAATTAACAAAGATCATTACTTTTACTTTCATTTATTACTTCGCATTATGATGATGGTACTACTTAACATCTAGAATTATAAAAATAGCATTTGTCATCTTCAGTCGTAAGAGTTAATTTACAGATCACAGGATCTGTAATACTCTCACAAGATGAGGGTCTATTTTCACAACCAGGTCCATAAGTTCCATTAGACTTAATTTTCAATTGACATTAGTTAAACCTCCTGAACATTAAACATTCAGCCTCAGTTTAAGCAGCAGTATTGTCAGCACAAACTCTATCCTTACATTTTTAATTCAAATCATCCCATTTGCAAGGTTGGTATTAACTAGTGATTTCGCATTATTGCTTATATTGATAATCACAATAGTATGAAAGATTTTAACAAGTTTAACAATATCATTTACTGTACATTTAGACAAAAAGCCTTCACAATCCTAGTGAGTTATTTCTCCATAAATTCTTTTATGACAATCAGCAACTCCATCATTATCTTAATCCTCATTCATACACTTTTATTCCTTATCATCCCAATAACAAAATTAACCATTTAAAGTGGTCTTGCAATTCCTTTGCCTAATAAACTCATTACAAGTTGTTTTTTTTAATTCACACCCTTCAGCAATAAAAGTGGAAACTACAGTACATTTAGGATTCCATGCATAACATTCTTGATGATTATTATACATACTAATATTTGGAGAGGATGAACAAGTAACTGGAGTAATTCGGTCTTTGCATCCACCCAGAATATGATTAAAAATACAATTATTGAACCAGCTGTTACACTCAACATTATTGGTGTAATTCATTATAGGAGCATCTGAACATTGTTATTTCTTACAATAGGAACCAGTCCAAAAACACTTAGTTTTATCCTATAGATTCAATTAACACTGTTATTGACTTAACATTTCAGTACAATTAGTTGGCCATTTTTAACATCCAACTCCAGAAGGTTTAATAATGCAAGGCCCAGATAATGCCTTGAATGAATTGCAATCCTCATTTTTTTAGTACAACCCAGGATTTGCATCAGTGCAAAGTTAATCTTAGCATTTCTAACTACTTTGATCCCATTTACACAAAAATCCTGAAAGTGTTGTGTAGCATTGATCTTACACGGCAAATGCACAAGCGCTCTTTTTATCCAGGCACCCAATCAAGATTTTTTAATTTGATAAAATTTAGACATTTACTGTACATTATGGCATCCATCCTTCACATTTTGAATTAGTATCATAAGATGGAGGTGCAGTTTTGCATTTCTTCTCTATGCAACCTTAATTCATTGTGCAGACTGTGCCAGTTGAATCAATTGTGCAATATTCTATCTCTAAAACATTTTCGCATAAATAATCAGTACAACCTAAAGAGTCTAGATTAAATGTACAATATTAACTTGCCTTTGAGCATATTTTATGATTTTTGTAGTTTGGCAATCTCAATTTCTTACATTCTAGTAATTCGCAATTGCCTCCAAGCCAAATACACCTTTTTTTTTTATAGTTTAATTCACAAAACTATTCTTGCAATATCTCTTCGCATAATTAAGGTGTCGCCTAACACCCTCCATTTAATCTCCCAATACAATTCCCATACTGCTTACAATCCATATGAGTATAATGAACTGGAGCATGATAACATTATCTTTATTCGCATTTTTCTTTATACCACACACAATCTTACTATTCTATTGAATTGCAATCTGTCTCATAAAAATAACCATCACATGTCTATGGTCTAATTTTACATCCTTTATTTTCTGAAGTAACACAATCTAATAGATTGTCATAATCTTAACATTATTGATAATTAGTAAGTGACTCTGGAGCAGTGCTGCAACTCTTGATTTTACATTGAGTTTAATGATATTCGCATTTGTTACCCTATGCATCAGTCACACAACCAAATTTATTCTAAGCATCAACACACTATTTCTTTACTACACAATGAACTCCATTAGTTGTACATTCACTTAAATGTAACTAACATTCATAATCTTAAGTAAATGGTAGATTTTCACACGCCTTTTCAACACAGTAATTATTTTTTGAATCCCAAAAACAATTATATTTTTTTGATTTAATTTCAAAGCATTAAAAGTTATTAATATATTATGTGCAAGACTCCATTAACTCAATACATCCATAACCCTTTTCACTTATAGTGCATCCGTCAAGACCTGATTAACATGCATTATGATCATTTAAATATAGAGGCATTTCTTCACACATTGTGACATTTGTACATTTTTTCTCCGATCCTCCAATCCAAACACAGTACTTACCATTCTAATTTTTATTGGCACATGCATTCTCTGTTATATAATCACTACAGTCTTTCATTTCCACACACTTTGAACCATCAGAAACACATTTATAGGACGCTTCTTAGCAATTATCTTTATCGAAATTGCTACAATCTACAAAATCTAGACATTCGCCAAAATAAAAACCGCATTACTTTTATTCTCGACAATCTTCCTAAGCATAGCTTTTGCATGGATTCTAATTATTAATCACTGTATTGTATGATTGACTGGGATTTAAAATACATTAATCACTCTACCAGATGCAAAACCCAGAGTTTTTGCAGTCTTTTTAACTTTGAACGTGCCCACAAACGCATCTTTTGGAAATCTCTGAACTCCTTATTATACATAATTGGAGTAGCAAGACTTAATAGAACATTTTGAAAATCATTTTAAATTCTTATTTAAATCTAATTAAAAAATCATTTTACGCATCCTAGAGATTATATCATTTTTAAATCAAATCTGATGTGAAAATGAATATGATCTTAAAGAAAATTGAATATTTCTTGAAATTTTTCATATGTTAAATGTTATTTTATTTATTCTTTGAATTGAAGTTTAATGGATTTAATGATAAGTTAAAGTTTAATGGACAATAAAAGTTTTTATTTAAGAATTAGAAAATGTAAAATAAATTAAATATCTATTATTCCCTAATTGATCTTATAAATTAATTCAGTAAAAATAAAAAATGATCAACCCGGCAAACATTGGTTTTATACAGGTCTTGCTGATTTTTGCAACGAACATTTAAATCTAAATATTCAAAGTCTAAATTAATTGTATTAGATCACTATAAATTGAGAGTTATCACTTTACAATTTCTTTAATCGGGTAAATTAGGAATATCAAGATTGGATCGATATTCCTAATTTAACCAAAATTTTGGCACAATATGAGGACTGAGAGAATTTTAGAGGTTGAAAAATTAATTGATGTATTGGTGGCTACCTCTAGGTAAAATAAGCACAGATATTCCTTTTGAGGAAAGCTGTTTGATCTTAAATCTGCTTAAATTTACTTACTACAACAATAAATATAACCTTTTTTGGAATGAAAGTAAAGAAACAAAGAGGAAAATCATTAAATTTGAAAAGGCAGAAATAATTAATTAACTGCGATTGTTTAATTGGACTAAAGTAATATTTTTTAATAATTCTAAATGTGCATTAATGACTTGCGAAATTGCTCCTCAAAATCCAATAACCTTTAATAATCTCAAAAATTTAAGTGGACTGGATATGTGGCTAAGTTCTAAAATTAAGTAAAAAGCTCATTTAAATGGCAATAAATTCCTTCTAAATTCCAGATGCCAAATTTGAAATAGTTTAAATTGAAATGCAAAATTCATTTAAGCTGATGCACAATAGTAAATAGTATCAGAGATACCTAAAAAGATCAATTCAATTCAGATTAAAAATTGATTCGAAAGAACCTGAAATGAAAAAGTCTTTCTGTTGCTCCTATACTTCAGGTTATTAAGGGTGTTAGATACTTTAGTAACCCAGCATTTTTCCCTAAAAGAATGTGAAATTTTATGACTTTACTGAGCACACAAGCCTAATAGATAACTTACAGACAATCTAATTGTAACTATTAAACAAAAGTTATAAGGATGTAGAAGGAATCCTTATTGTTTAAAAATAAATTTTAACTTCAATATCATATCAATCTTAATATTAGGCTAAGGATAATTACTAGTATTACCTATGAGATAACCACAACGATTTGGATTTCTCATAGTTTGCTAATAGAACTTGTGCAACTACTTATGATGTAGTACTTAGTCTGCAATTTTGCAGCTAAAATTATGGTATTATGAATTTAACTAATCATCATTTTATTGCCTTACCTGAAGATTGCTGATCTATGCTTGTAAGAAATATTTTCACCAATTATTCTGTTCCTAGCATTTGACAGGTTTATTGGTTATCTACTGCTGCTTTTGAGAATAGTTTAAAGAAAACAGTACACATTTTGGAGCCTTTAAAAAATTCCGAATCGAAAATTAGATTTGATACACAAAGAATTTGAAAATAAATTTCAATGAGAATATAGGATAAACCACGGGATCAGAAAGCCGTTTGAACTAATTTATGATTTTTACTTCCTTAAAGACAATGATTTTATAAGAATATTATTAATCCATCAATAAGCAAACTAATTAGAAATAATGATTAAGTCATTTTCAAATCGATAATAATTTTGATGATGTTTTTTTTGTGCATCCAAATAAGACATAATATGGATAATTAATTTATTACTGGTCTGATTTACTTAATGTATTTTTCTTCAAACAAAGTGAGTTATTCCTCGTCACTTTGCTTGGAGAATAAAGAAATCAGACCCATATTACATTTAAGATTTTAAAAAATTAAACTTCCTATTAAAAATTGATAAAATCGAAATACTAATTTTAAATTAAGTCACAATTATCTATTATGGTAAATTCAAATATTAGAAGAAATTCTAAATTAGAATTTGATTATACAATGAGAAAAGGTGTTACCTTAATTTCAAAAAAATACAATTATATATGAAAACTGCAAGAGATAGTAAGGCATGGATAAATGATGTTGCGAAAATAGTTATTGGCATCATTATTGTAAATCAAATCAAACACATAATTTTTTAGTTTATTACAAATCTAAACTGTTCAACCTATACTAATTATTTGGGTTCTTTTTAAGAATTAATAATAGAATAAGCCATATTTGTAACTGATATTAGTAGCAAATTCAAATTATATATAATGTAGATCTTACAATCAAACATATTGTTCATATGAGAAAATAATACCAATTTATACTTAATAAATATCCTTATATATTTCTATTGCATGATTATAAACTAGGTATTAATTAAATATTGAAAATTGTAGTTTACACTCAGAAAGATGTGGTTAAGCAAATT